CTGAATAAACAAAGTCTACACACTGGACAGTTCATGAAGAACTAACATATTTTAATATTTATCTCCTTTTGCCACAAAGAGAATGACAGAATTCATGAAACGGTAACCGGTAGGGCCAGTTCCAACTTCATAGGGTTGACTTAGTTCAGCGCTTGCCACTCCATGCAGTACAGACCACCAGTGGCCACTTTGGTAATGTTGGTGTATGGTGGGGATCACTGGGTAGTGACAAATGATGTTTTTTTATGCCCTGCTTGGAAATACAAGCAAGATAAAAAGCGGGTACGGGCTAAAAGGTTGACAAACACCCTAGATGATGAACCTTGTACTTTGGCCTCTGGAAGAGAGTAGATAGTAGATGGGTTCAAAGTTCAAAAGTAAAAGTCACAGGGCTTCCCATGTAATTATTTTTACACAGGGACCACAGACATGAATCAGGCGACCAGTTTCATTTATTATCTCGAATCACCCTAGCTCTGTATGACACTATGACTATGATTAGCATACATGCAAGTCTGCTTTGACTGTCACCCATTCAAGACAATACCTCTACAATCCATTCAAGACAATATAACTCTACAATCAAACACTTTCCACTCACAATGTTGAGGTTTACTTCATAATAACACTGTCCAAGATGTCCACCTGCTTAAGTCTAAGACAACCAGTAGGACAAATAATTAGGCCTTGAACTTACTCTCAGAAGAAATTGAAAAATAAGAAGGCAAAAGAGGCAGAGGTAGATCACGAATTTACAATTTAACTTGAACAGATGGGTGATGGGAATGGACCTCTGGATAAAATAGTATTTTCGAGAGCGTCCGAACAGTTAAAAATAAGTCGCAAAGCATGATTGCCGGTGCTCGTTTCAGATCTGGCTCTGAAAGATATATATAATATATTGAAACTCTTCTATCAGCACAAGATTGGTAACATTTATTTTTATATGCCTCCACTTTCTGTTTTCAGTGAACCTGTCAACTTCAAGCCTGCAGGCCATGACAAAAGCTTTGGTAGCACCATTTAGGTTTTTGGGGACAGAACAAACAAAAAAAAGAGATATCAAAAGCTTGGAGAGCAAAAAGTATGTTCATGCATGTATGTGTGTGTGGAGGTGGAAGGGGGGGGGGGGGGGGCACGATGTGCTCGACCATTCATTTTTACAACAACCTCAATAAAAATTTTTTTTAAATAGAGTAGAAAAGGGAAGAGTGATAAAACAAAAATCAATAACTTGAGGTTTCGGAGCACACATTCCACAGGACTAATTGAGTTAAAAAGCCAGTCGTTAACATCTGTTACTTCTTTTCCATATAATATAAAAATTCCTGTACAAATCAGAAGTATGGATCATAGGTAAAAAAAAAAAGAACTTGAGATTAAAATCAATGTATGATACCTTGCACGCAATTGCGTGAATATTGCCAAAAAATGTGTTGAGTGCACGCAATTGTGTGCGTATCTATAGCAAAAAATGTGTTAAATTGGTGCACGCAATTGCGTGTAGACACTCCCAATACAAGAAGGCAAGCTTGAAGGAGTAAGGCTAAGGGTGGGGGTGGGAGTTAAAGACTAAGCTTGTGCTTTGGGCTGATAACATCTTGTCGTCCACGGTTACTTTGTAACAGACTGGGTAAACAGTCACCTGGTCACTCATCTCAATTACGATTTGTGTAGGAGTTCTGGGCGGGGCTTGGGTTATGAAGGATCACACGCTTACCTCATTAGCAGCTGAAAATTTGTTACCTATTGGTCAACATTGGGAGGGGCCTATGCAACATGATCGGTTGGAGGGACTACCTAACAACGACAGGTGATGGGATTATGACAGAAAGCCCACAACGCAAAGGGCCAATGCACAACTTATATTATGACAAAACGTAAAGAGTCACTAAAGTGGCCGTCTAAGACAGGTGTGTTATTGCTTGGTGTGATAGGGGTTGGGAGTCAAAATATGGTGGCCGCGGCCGCGTTGGCAGGTGCCCGTTTTACACAGTGAAATTATACGGAAAAAAAGCAAGGGGGAAAATGGAAAGTAGCCGTTTGTACAGGTGGCCGTCTTATATATATAGAGGTGGCCGTCAGGGTAGGTTCGACTGTATATATATATATATGTCATGTGGCCACCAACACCCTTGCAAATCAATTGTTTTCAAGTTCAAGTAAATATCATTCCGAATTGCCAAAACATCAAATCATTCTTCCAGTATGACGAGTCAGGCTTTAGGTTAGGTTAAAGGCTATTGATCTCTGAGCTACAAGATTCTATGTGAGGGAACGTAGTGAAATCAGGCCCACTCGTCAAAATGTAATTTAGGGAAACCAGCATTTTTCTGGTTGTTGGGCAATTTTTTTTGGAAGAGGCTAACCGTACTTTCATGTCTAGACTGGCAGGCCAGCCGTATTTAATGACGCTAGACGGCTGGGCTAGCCATACTTAATAATGATGGCTAGACCGACAAACAGGCCTTCTGAATTATCAATAAATTTTTAGTTTGCAATACCTAAAGTGTATTTGAGATGAAACCAAAAGGTGTTTAAATATATTGACAGTGAATAGACATGCATACTCAATAGGATTCTAATAGAAGGGCCTAAAATAGACTGCTTGGCTAGCCGTACTAAAGTTACTGCTAGACGGCTAGGCTAGCCGTACAAGTACGGAAGTACAGCTAGATTGGCATGCTAGCTGTACTCCTGTACAATTGCGGTCCTGTTTGCACTAAATCACACAAGCACAACAAAGTACTGGATATCGATACTGAATAGTCGGTATCAATGTTTTATAATGTTTTATCAGTAGATCTAGCCTACAAATGAGCAGTAAAATTTCACCTGTTTTTAACAAGGCAAGGAGGGTTTCAGGGGGGCATGCCCCCCTGAATTTCAACATAATTTGATGTTTTGCAATAGGTTTGATCTATAGGCTATCTCTCCATATTGGCATGCGCATCAAAAAGTAATCATTTAGAACCAGAAGTAATCACCGGTCAGGTCAAAACTAGTACCCCCAAACGGGACCGCAATTGTACAGGAGTGCCCTACATTAGCCAGGAATACTTTTCTGCCTTTTTTGTATTAAATAATTTTTAAAAAATTATTTTGGCTTGATTGAACTTTGGCTGGTAAACAAACCGTGTTTACATGCATGCGCGTATTAATGCTCACTACCTATGAC